AGCATAGCTGAACCATTTGCATATTTGGCTCTGTAATGCAGGATGCAGCCACAGCAGTCTCTGAGAGAGGATGGCTACTCATCCTTTGCTTTAATATTTCCGGAGAAACAGTCCACCACAATCTTTAAACTATGGCGTTTAAAGCAGAGGCCTATTGTTAGGATATGGTGTAAGTCTAACAAGTTGTCCAGGCAATATATGTGTTCTATCACTTTAAATGTAATGCTGAGTAATTGTACTGCTGAGTCATTGTAATGACTAATGACTGCTGACTGAATGCTGACTGCAATTATCATAATTGTATTGTTGAGTCATTGCATTGCTGACTTCACTATCTTAAGTGGATAATTACTAGTGTAAACTGTATATAAGGAGGAAGCCGAGCTATAGTCATTGTTGGACCTGCTCTCATCATTGCTTGACTTGCTGCTTGACTAGAACTGTTGATTGGAACTGTTACTGTCGTCGTGTGAAGAAGTGGATGGATCTGCTACCATCGTGATTTGTTACCAGCATTGAATTGCTGTTTATTACCTACTGCTGTTTGGTAAGAAGATATCTGTAACTCTGGACTGATTTGAAAGGCTAAAGACTTGGATTGACTAAAAGACTATGCAATTGTTTTTCACTACAAAGTAAAAGCTTTGTTAAACCAGTTTGTATGTATGGTATTCATTGCTCTCAGTACCGTTTCTCTGTGCACTTACTCTGCTGGTTGGTAACACAACAATATCCTTAACACCTATGATCTGTGGCCCTCAAAAATAAGTAGCCCTCTGAAATCCATAGTTGCCAGGACCCGCCAAAAACCTCATAGTTGAACTGTGGTTTCTAGCACCCTAGAAGAGGGGAATGGCTGGATTCAAGGGACACGAGCTGGATTTTATCCCTTACATTTAATTTTCATTGACATGAAATTGGGTATAAGTTTTCTTCTGCTTATTCCCATTCTAGCCATGCTGTTCAAGGACTCTATATAGCTCTAAGTCTGGAAAATATTGTATACCCGATTTAAAATATCCTGTAGAGCAGAATTGTATTTGGAGAATATGCACTAGAGGGTGCATATTTCCTAGCACAAGTACCTGTCCTCCCATTAAAGTCCAGCAAATATTTTGTACTTAACTCCTTCTTTAGGATCCAACAAACTGTTTCAGCCTGATTCCCAAGTTCAGCATGGAAATGTTTGCATCTACAACCCTTTCCTGCCAATATTTGCTTGAATAAACAGGGTGGGTATTCTGTCCTTAAATAAACCCCAGGATTTCTCTCCATACCTTGGAATTCTTTCTGAATAATAAGGATCTCTCTTAGTACATTTTTCCTCATTTGGTCCCCAAATATTGGATATCCCCTTTATAGCGCCGGAAAAGACGCCTGGAGAGCGGTTGGAGGGCCAGTCTCGCTGAATCTGACCCAACACTGGTAAGGTCGCATATTAAGACCTACCTAGTGGCGATAAAGGCGGCAAAGTTTAATTACTTTTCCGCTCTTATTGCATCATCAGATAAGCGTCCAGCTGCCCTGTTCAGGGTGATCCGCTCCCTGTTACATCCGGGAGTGCGGGAGGACCCCCTGGAAGGCAGGGCCGAGGATTTCGGACAATATCTGTATGACAAAATCGCACAGATTCGGGGGGATTTGGACTCTGACTGGGTAGATTCGGGCAGGGTGGCGAGGAATAGTCTTGAGAATGTTATCTGGGAAGAGTTTGACTCTGTGATCCCTGATGACGTGGACAGGACTTTAGGGAGACTTAGTGCGGCCACATGTTTGCTGGACCCATGTCCCTCCTGGTTAGTACTGGCTTCTCGGGAGGTTACACGTGGTTGGCTCCAGGGAATTATCAACGCTTCGTTGAGTGAGGGTTACTTCCCCATGGCCTTGAAAGAGGTGGTGGTGAGGCCTCTCCTCAAGAAGCCTTCCCTGGACCCGGCAGTATTAGCCAACTACCGTCCTGTCTCCAACCTTCGCTTTGTGGCAAAGGTTGTTGAGAGTGTGGTCACACGACGGTTTCCACAATACCTGAAGGAAACGTCTTATCCGGGTCCATTCCAGTCAGGTTTCAGGCCCAGGTACAGCACGGAAACGGCATTGGTCGCATTGGTAGATGATCTCTGGAGGGCTCGGGACAGGGGTTGCTCCTCTGTTCTGGTCCTGTTAGATCTCTCAGCGGCTTTTGATACCATCGACCATGGTATCATGCTGCGCCGGTTGGAAGAGTTGGGGATGGGGGGCACCGTGTTATGGTGGTTTTCTTCCTTTCTCTTGGACCGGTCGCAGTTTGTGTTGGCAGGGGGAAGAGGTCGACCTCAAGACGTCTCATATGTGGGGTGCCTCAGAGGTCGGTCCTCTCACCCCTTTTGTTCAACATCTATGTAAAGCTGTTGGGTGAGATCATCCGTGGCTTCGGGGTGAAGTACCACCAGTACACTGATGACACCCAGCTGTACATCTCCACCCCGGGCCACCCCAATGATGCCCTTGAGGTGATGTCCCAGTGCCTGGAGGCTGTGTGGATCTGGATGGGGAGGAACAGGTTCAGGCTTAACCCATCCAAGACTGAGTGGCTGTGGTTTCCAGCATCCCGATATAGTCAGTTGATACCATCACTGACTATTGGGGGCAAGTCTCTGGACCCCACGGAGAGGGCTCGCAATTTGGGCGTCCTCCTGGATACGCAGCTGTCCTTGGAGGAACATCTGACGGCTGTAGCCAGGGGGACTTTTTATCAGGTTCGCCTGATCCGCCAGTTATGGCCCTTCCTAGATCGAGATTCCTTGTGCACAGTCATTCATGCCCTCGTCACCTCTCGCCTGGACTACGGCAATGCTCTCTACATGGGGCTCCCCTTGAAGAGCACCTGGAGGCTCCAACTGGTCCAGAATGCGGCCGTGCAGGTAGGTTCGGGAGCTGCATGGCGCTCCCACATAACACCTCTCCTGCGTGAGCTGCACTGGCTCCCAGTGGTCTTCCGGGTGTGCTTCAAGGTGTTGGTTATCACCTTTAAAGCGCTCCATGGCATAGGACTTGGATATCTTCGAGACCGCCTGCTGCTACCATTGGCCTCCCACCGACCTGTGCGCTCCCACAGAGAGGGCCTCCTCAGGGTGCCATCGGACAAACAATGTAGACTGGTGGTCCCCAGGGGGAGGGCCTTTTCTGTGGGGGCACCTGCCCTCTGGAATCAGCTGCCCCCAGAGTTACAAAGAATCCAAGACCTCGGTGCCTTCCGCCGTGTCCTGAAGACCTTTCTTTTTCAGCAAGCCGGGCTGGCTTAACACATTTTTAAATGTTTTTAATAGGTTTGTTATTGTTTTTTAATTATGGGGCCAAACGCATATATATCTTTTTAACTGTATTTTAATGTTTGTATTTATGTTTTTACTTTGGCTGTGCATCGCCCCGAGTCCTCCGGGAGAAGGGTGGTATATAAATCTGATAATAAATAAATAAATAAATAAATAAATAAATAAGCAGGAGCAGTAATCCAGATTTCTTTAAATGTGTTTTAAGAGTATTGTTGCCGAGTCCAACTTTTCCAGAACTATAACGTAAGCTATTTTTCAGTTGTATTTCAAATATATTGCAGACCACAAAACAAAAGGGACATGGAAGTGTATTTCTCACTTGGTGGCACACAATATTTCTCTCTAGGTTAGCTGGCCCTGACATTTCCTTTTCATTTAAGTTATTGTTTCCCGAAGTGTCTAGGCTGCTGTTCACTGTTTCCTTACAGGCAGTAATCATCTCAAAAAGCTTTTGGAGATCACAGTTGCTGAAAAAGTCTAGATAGAAGGATGTCCTAAATAATAGCATCATGTATTTTGACAGGGCCAATTTAGGTGGAAAGAATTGTTGTTTACTTGCTGAGCGCTTATTTTACTTGGCATATTCTCTGAAGGACATGACATGTGAACTGAGAATCACAACTGAAGCCATTTTCTTCTTAAATCAAATACTCTAAAAATATATAGAGGGTCCAAACAATGCAGAAAGATGCACGTTTTGGAGGATGTACTTTGGAAGGGATTTAGCAAAGTCAAGAAAGAAGTTATTTTCCTGAAACAATTTGGACTGGAGGCAGCTTCTTTTGGACTTGTTTGTGGTTTGAAATGGGAGAATACTGCCTCAATTCCTTTTTTAAAGAAGAAAAAGACAAAAAATAACAAAAAAGAAAAATATATAAAGAAGTGACTTACAATCTTCATCACAAGAAGTATGAACAAATTTAGCAACTCTTCCTATCTTATAAGGTTATAAACAAACATCCCTTCATCCCATATCCTATCCCTTATCTATAAGACATCGACTTTTCAGTCTTGGTGTCAACAAAAAGTCCACAAAGGATTGCCCCAACTTTGTGGGGGGGGGGGATCCTTATTTTAACTGATCAAATAAACCAACTTTATATTCCTACCTCGTACTTCTAACAGTCTTCATCTTTAATTCGAGCAAATATTTTCATATAATTTAATTTCTCTTCAATTCATTTTTATCCAATTGCACAGATTTCTCTTTTTCAAGACTTTAAGCTTCTTTTACAGATTTAATAAGAAATCATTTTAGGTCATTGTCTTAGTTTATCATTTGTATTTTCCTTTTCCTTTTTAAAATTTAGGTGCCAGTTTCTTTTGTATGTCCAGTAAAATATCCTTCTCCAAATCATTTTCTTGACTTATCATTTGTATTTTAATTTTCAGTACTTTCTCTGTCTAGACAGATAAAATTCATTCCACACCATTAATATCTATATACATGGTCTAGCAGACATAATTACTGAAAATGTTGATTAACTTTTGGCTCCATTTTTCAAAGATATCCTTTGATATATTTGATGTTATAATGTTTTCTGTCATTTTGTATGTCCCAGTATTGACTGATATCAAAAGGTTTTCATTTTTAAAATTTTGTTCTGAACCTTTAGTCCCCTCTGGTGTCCGGTTTCTAAGATCATCACTTATTTTTATTATAACTTACAGTAACCAGAATACGCAAAGTTTGTTTACCATAAGAAGCTATTTATTTTTTATAGTTGCAGTAATTTCAAAATCTTATAATAAAAGTCAAAATTCCAAATTTATCTGTATACTTAATTTGTTTCTAAGTTTTTTATATCCAAATATTAGTTTTTTTCCTATATATTTTAAATTCTTTAAGTTCTTAAGCTTGTTTTCTTTGGTGAAGAATTGAAGATATGACGGATATGAATTGAAGATGTAAAGTCCAATGACATTACAAATTTGTCATTCTAAGGATCTCTATTTTTAAATAGCAATTTCATTAAGAATTATAATCCCAACAATAAAAACTAACAAACTAAAAAAAAAAAAAAAGAAAAAGTGCAGAAATGAAAGAAAAGGGAAAAATAGAAAGAGATGTAGAAAGGGAAAAAATAATAAAAAATAGAAGTGACTTCCCACTCTCATCACAAATGTAAACAATTTTAATAACCCATCAATTTCATTTAAAATGATTTCTCCTTTATCTACAAACAAATCCATGACCTTATAATTTCAGTCCTGTTTCAGCAAAAATCCTTTAAGTATAGCTAGAGATAATATATCTATTTTATCCTTGATCAAATAAATAAACTTTATATTCCTTCCTTTTACTTCTAACAAACTTAATATTTAGATCCTTCAAATAATGTCATAGAACCTGGGGCTTTTTCTTCTTCTTTTTTTCTTTTTCCCTTCTCACAAAATTCTTCAAAGGTTTAAAAAGCTTCTTTCATAAATCCATTATAGGAAAATTATTCAGTTTACCCTGTTGGTTTTTTAAATTATTAAGACATCAGCCAGTTTCTTCTGTGTATCTAGTAGTGTATATTTTTCCATATCATTCTTGTAATCTGTCACTTTAAAATCTACTTTCAATTCAGTCTCAATCTTATCAGGTAGAACTTGTTCCTCTTCCATAATGTCTTTTGTTGTGGCAGACACTATTTTTTTAAAAAAAATAAATTTTATTAATTTTTCCAAGTTTAAAATCAACATAAGACAAAAACATTGATTATACATAAAAACAAAAACCATACATTCCCCTCCCTCCCTCCCCCATTCATAACACTAAACATATAAACACATCTATCCTGGCAGATAATGTTCCTGCCCTCATTAATAAATAATTATGCCCACAACACAGAATAAAGTAAATAATCTCTAAATATGGCAGACATTATTAAAATTCATTCCTAGGTCTGTTGTTTTAACAATATTTTTCAATGTATCCTGCTGTCTCCTCATGAGGAGCAGCCATCTGGAATATATGTAGGCAATCTTCTGTCCTTTTGTTATCCAGAGAGATTCCAAAGAACTGGTCTACGCATTGGTTCCTAGGTCTTTGCTATAGTTGTCGATTTTTGTGAAGACATATTTAATTTGCCATACCACCCCAGAAGTCCCTGCTTCCAGTTTCCAAAGATATAACATGAATGAACCCAGCAGAGTTTGTACTACTGTGACTTTTCTGGTCACAGTCTACTTTAATCACAAAATTGGGAAAACTAAGATGGGTCCATAAGACAAAGCTCTGTTATACCTTAGGTTCTGTGAGTGGATTCTGACAGACTTTTTGCCTACTCCTTAATATAAGCAAGTAATTATATTTATAGCTTGATGTGAATGTAATGTTGGGAATTACATTTTACCTACTCCTCTTTCAAATTAATTACATGTTTTATATTTTACTCTGTGTACTTGCATTTTCCAAGGGCCTCTTGAGAAATAATTTTTCAGAGATGATTTTTAAAAAGAGAGGAGGTTAAAATAGTTGGGAACATATACAGATGCTTTCCACTGAATCTGATCACTGGTTTATTTAACCCAGTATCGTTAGCAGCAGCTCTACAGAATTTTCGAAAGGAATCCTGCCCTTTCTCCCAAGGGTAGCTGGAAAGTTCTGCATGAAAAATGTGTGCTGCACAATTGTGCAGCCAAAAGCCAGGCTTTCAAGCAGAGCAAATGCCAGCAGAGGTTAAACATTGCACTTCAAAGAATTTAAAGGATGCAGTTTTTAGAAAATCTGCCTAGAAAATCTATCAGAGGCAGTGCTGGGGGCTTCCCTGAGAAGATTTTTGCTGCCACTGAAATTCTATAAATAAGAAAGTCCTCAGAGGATTCTTTTTTGGGAGATAACTTTCTTCACATTAATACAATGTGAAGTGACTCTTGCCCCAAACAAGATTCCTGGACATTTCTCTTGCCTAAAGGATTAAAAAAAATCTCTTTCAAGGTAAAAAAAAAGTTTCATAGGACTCTTGCCTTAACCTTTACCAAGGCTCCCTGGAGAAAAGGCTCTGAATTATCTATCTCTTCTGATAGGTTTCTCAGCCATTTTATCTTTTTGTCAGTCAGCCAATTTGTCCGTCAGTGTTGTTTTTTCTCTCCAGCCCTTCCTACGTTTTGTTCCGTTTTCTGACATACTTGCTACTTCATTCCAACTTTCCTTCATCACCTGTTCCCTGCTTGAATCATCCATATAACGTGGACTGCTATTCTGCTATTATCTTTATACTTGTCTACAAAGATTTGACCTGTTGCAATGAAGATTTCAGCAACTTAATGCATTTTGTTAGAGAGAAAATGCTAGTTTCACAAACAAAACAATTCTTTGTATTTCAAATGATGCATTTAAAATATTTAGATTGAAACGTCTCCGTGATTACCTTATGCTGCTATAACTGCAACTGGCTAAAGATTAAAGCACATTGGTAGAAATTCAGCTTTATTCTTATCCAAGTCTAAGGATATTTCCATGGGGCACAAGCATTGCCCTTCATATCCTCAACTGCCACTCTTGTGTCCTGATTATTACCCTCCGTCTCTTGTCATTGAGGTGGCTTGCACAACCTCCTCCTGGCCAGAGCATCTAGGAAGGTCCTAGGAAAGGGCACCAAGATGCCACAACACCTTGACTTCACAAGGGAGGTGAATTCTGAAGAGAGGGAGGTGAGACAACTGGTATTTCTCACCAATCGAAAACCAAGAGGTCACACTAATGTTTTTTTCAGTGTAATTTCAGGAATAACACCCGAATCAAAATTAATTTTCTTAATTTGTAAGAGTAATATAAATCCTACAGGGTTGTAGAAACATAACAACAACATTTTCTTGAGGAGAAAAATGGAGATAACCTTGATTAAAAAGGGAAGAAAAGCAGCAACTCAGTCTTGATTATCTTCTTTCCCTGAAAAGAAGAGACTATTAATGCTTTCTCAAACCTATGTCAAAGTTTATGTATAAACGCACTGCCATTTCCTGATGTGTTAGGTAAAGTAACTGTTGCCCATGCTGGCTAGAAACTTGTGGAATGCACTTGAAGAATCTCAAATTTGGGAAAACCATAAAGTATTTGACATTATTACATGTCTAAGCAAGATAGTTAAGTACGTTTTGACCCATTTTACAACCTTTCTTGCCACAGCTGTTAAGTGAATCACTGCAATTGTTAATTTAGTAGTATCCCTTTCTCTAGCTATTCTTCTGACCAATCCTTTTAGCCACAGGTTGAATCTGGCCAGGCAAAATCTCAAGTTCAACTCCGAGGCTTCATAGGACTTCCAAGTTCTCTTTTACTCATTCTCTATGTGCTTTTCTCTCCTATCAGCTGACTGCCTTGTGCAACCTGACACCATGTGTACCATCCTGAGAACCCAATAAAACAAATATACAAAAAATAGCAGATGAATGTACTAAAAAAAATGAACAAACTAAAGTGAAAACAACAGCAAAATAAAGAAGCATGTCTGGTATGAAAAGACATTCTAGGTGAAATATGAAACATACCCGCACTACAACATAATACATTTCTACTTCCACCTTCAGGCCACACTGTACATTTAACAAGAAGGGACAAAGCATTTTAGCAATCCTTTACTCTACTTGGAGCATTAATTTTGTGGCCATGGAAAGAGTAGAAAGGTGAGGAGTCAACCAGGGTACAATAGTCATATAAAGAAACCCAGGAGGACTGGGTATAGTCTGGGGACTTTAGTTGACACCTCAGGCTTCAATACAATTAGTTATCAAAAGAAAATATATGGGATGTAACCTATAGGACTTCCCTGTCATTCCAAATTACCCAGTAACCTGTTTTCTTACCATTTGTGCAGAATGTTTTAAATTGCTGATGGTACCTAGAAAGTGACAATAAAGTGAGATCTTTGATATTTCAGCTGTCATTTCTCTGTGTTAAACTGCCAGTGCTAGGGTTTGTTATTTTTAGAACTGATTATTGTACAAAGTGGGAATCAGAAAAGCACTTCATGTTTTGCCACTAATGCTTTTCTTGTTAGCAGGTGTCCACCATACGCATATGTATATAGCATTGGTACTGATCTGTAGATACACTTGTAGGTATAAAGAAGTTGGATCTATGATTTGAATGAGATTCTGTTGTTCTGTCCTACAAAGTATGATTACAGTTGTTATTATGAAAATCAAGTGAATAGACTTTGAAAATCGTATGGTGTTTATGAGATGACTTTAATTATGAAACACAATTATGATGTACAAACTGCCATGTCAGAATGACTAAATAAAATCCCGTTCAGTCTTTTGTATATCTACCATTAAGCGCTCCATGGCATAGGACCTAGATATCTTCGAGACCGCCTGCTGCTACCGACGGCCTCCCATCGACCTGTGCGCTCCCACAGAGAGGGCCTCCTCGGGGTGCCATCAGCCAAACAATGTAGGCTGGTGACCCCCAGGGGGAGGGCCTTCTCTGTGGGGGCACCCACCCTCTGGAACCAACTGCCCCCAGAGATAAGGAGAATCCAAGACCTCGGTGCCTTCCGCCGTGCCCTTAAAACTTTCTTTTTTCAGCAAGCCAGGCTGGCTTAACACTTTTAAATGTTTTTAACTGGTTTGTCATTGTTTTTTAATTACGGGGCCAAATTTATATATATCTTTTTAATAGTATTTTAATGTTTGTAGTTTATGTTTTTATTTGGCTGTACACCACCCTGAGTCCTCAGGGAGAAGGGCGGTATATAAATTTGATATAAAATAAATAAAAAAAATTAATCATGATTAATCCCCCAGGATCCCTTGAGAAATCTATAATGCTGGAAGAGATGGAGAAGATGATGACCAGGAGCAAGGTGGATGGTCCCTATGACACGATGGGTTGTCAGCCCTTTAAGATAGGCCAGACTAGGAAACCAAAGTTATGAATGCTAATATTACTTTTATTATAAGGTCATAATAACAAAATCTTGTGTCTGAATGTGCTTCCTCCCTCTCTCCTTTTAAGAGAACTAGGGACAGCCTTATCCAAGTTGCTTTCTCAAAGTACAATTCTGCCTTGACTCAAATGTTGTTTTTCTGACTATTGTTTTGGTTTCACCTCTTCCTCCTGTTCCTCAAGGTTACTTTTACAGCCCATCATACCTGAAGGGTCAGGTTAACAATCGAACATCCAGGAGGTCTGTCTCAATCAGTCAGTAAAAGCTCCTGGAAGTAGTTGGGAAAGAAACATCACCATTTTGATGCAGAGCAGCTGTTTTATATAGTAACAGAACAATTATACTTCTAATGTAGCCTTGTCTAGCTTCACGGATATAATTTGTTTCTTTAAAAAACTGTTGTGCCTTTTACATTGAGATGCATAACCTAACTGGAAACAAGGTTCAATTTTTTTTTGTGTTGTAAGTTGTAACTTCCAATAATTTTTTCTGACGAAATTCATCTAGTGAAATATTCAACATTTCATATGGATTTATTTTTAGTAAGACCTCATATTGATCAATGCATGTGTGACTCATTTTAATTCTCATAGCCTGAAAAGTTTGTGCATGAATGCAAGAATCTCTAAGAAATGGAAAATGTTAATACAAATAGGCAAAGAAGTAATTTCAGGTCAGAATTCTCAAATCAAACATTTTACTGCAAGACAAGTTAAGATTTAAAGATACTCAGGGAACATCATAAAAAGAAAGTCATATAGGAATTCAAAGTGTTTCCATTCTGAAAGCAACAAGTTAATGACTTCTTTATGTTTGATTGCTTACCTTTATTGTAGATTTAACTGCAGTTTTTTAATACTAGATGGCATTATCCATATCCTTTCCTCTGTTGGCGTAATAATTTTCCTCTTCTCTCTTGTAATTAACATTTATATGCCATTTCACCATCAAATTCCTGCCTGCCCAAATAAACTTGACGGTCACATTCATGTCTCACTTGTACCCTTGCAATTCATAGTAGTAATAAAGTTCTCCTCATTTTATCCTCACAGCTTTGCGAAGTCCGCTGGCCACTCAATGAACCCCGAAGGCATTGTTCATCACGTTAACTACTGGCTTTTTCTCATCCAACCTCCAAAGAATTAGATTTATGTGTAAGATATCTTACACAGAAGCACTTGTTTCTTTTTTCTTTTTAACCCAACTCAATCAACCAAATCTACAAGATTAAAGAGATTGCTCTTTACTGTCTTGGCAAAAAACAGCTATCTTATGGCACCTTATGGACTAATTTTTACTTCGCCTACATTTGTGTGTCTCACAATCCAGTTCATCATATTTTAAAAGCACCATTTAAAGACATAAATGAGCATGTCTTTGGGGACTTTGAAAAAATCAGCAGTAATGAAAACTTTATCCATTGGAGTCACTGTTGAGAAATATATACAGTATCTCAATCTTTTTCAGAATGTAGGGCTTCTTAAGAACATTCCATCCTAAAACTTACCAACTTACCAAATGAGTGGGAACAATGCTCTGCTCCCGTAGCAAAAGAATCTCTAATTTTAATTTTGAGCTGGGTCATATAGTTTGAGAACTTAGAGGCATTGAGGGAGACCATTGTATTTTGAAGTGTATAGTGACATCTTTTGATTTCTCCTTCATGTTAAGAAGATTATAGATTCAGAGTTATGATGTTTATCTTGCTTTTCACTCTTGCTTGATAAATAGAAGAAAGGGAGGAATCTTCACAAAGCTGTAGAAAAAGATCAAGATTTAAGTTGCTACTGACTTATCTGTACAGTTCCCAGGATCTTGTTTATCTATCAGGTTCTGCAATCTCAGTACCACAGAAAGAAGATTGTGAGGTTTCGGTAGCAAGTTTTGACAAGACCGTAGTATTGGCCTTTATTTTGGGATCTTCTACATAGACTTAGTGCTGAGTGCTATGTAACTTCATTGTTTTGAGGTCTCTCCACTATTGTTCCACTGGGAATCCCAACAGCTGAACAGAGTTTTGTTATTGTCTTGCTTGGTACATTATGCTTTTGTGTTTCTGTTAAATCTGTCTGCTAAAGTTAATAATAAAACTTAAAATTGCTTCATTTACTGGTGCGTTTATTGTCTCTGGATCCTCAACCAATTGTCTTGCATTTGGCCATTGACTTGGCAATACAAAATTTAGCTCCAATCTAAGAGACTCTAATGACTAAAATCAGCCCTCTGTTTTGGGCCTGGAAATGAACAGGCAGATGAAACAGAAGACAATAGACCAGTGATGGCGAATCTTTTCAGCACCGAGTGCCCAAACCGGAATGAGTGTGTGTGTGTGTGTGCTGGAGCGCTGGAAACCTGAAGACCAGCTGGCCGATGTGTATGTGCGCGCTGGCCAACTGGTCTTCGGATTTCAGCTGGTCTTTGCGTCTGCTGGAGCACCGGAAACCAGAGCAGCTGGTGACGGCACATGTGCCCACGGAGAGGGCTCTGCGTGCCACCACTGGCATGCGTGCCATAGGTTCACCATCACGGCACTAGACCAACATTTAAGGCAAAAAACGAGCCTTGATAGTACAGTGGTCTAAGCACCCTGTTATTAACACAGCTGCCTGCAATTACTGCTGGTTCAAATCTCTCCAAGGCTCAAGGTTGACTCAGCCTTCCATCCTTTCTAAGGTAGGTGAAATGAGGACCCAGATTGTGGGGGCAATAAACTGACTTTGTATAAATATACAAAAATATGAAGGCTATTGCTTAACGCATTGTAAGCCGCCCTGAGTCTCCGGAGAAGGGCGGCATATAAATCAAATAAAAAAATAATAATGTTATTAAAATGAACTTTGTTTATAGAAATATCCTATGTTAATACCAAATAGATATTTCCTTTGGGTAGATAAAATTATTGAGGAAATTTATTTGGGATTGGGGATCACCAAAGTTTTCTTTGGCTAAATTAAGATTTTATAAATCTTATTACTTTAAATTATCTTAATAAGTAATATTTTATAAAGATTTTATCAGCCATCTGCTGGTGGAGTGAAAATAGGTAATTGAATATCATCCATTCTGGGCTAAATTGGAAAGTTATTATCTAGTTGCTTTGCAAGCATGAAAAGTGCTTTGGAACAATGTATAACAGAAAAAGGTGTTTAATTTCTGGGCGTATGAGCAATGAGAAATCATTGGGCCATAATGGGATGTAAATTGAGTTTTGATAATGAGAATCATGAATACTTAATTTTTTGGATAAAATCTACTTTACAATTGATGATAAATAATTCTATTGGAAGGTTTGGGAAGAAGCTGGGATGATGACTTTAACTCAACAACTATGAAATAGCTGTTTTAAAGATTTTTACTGACTTCAAACTGAATTTGTCTTCCGAATTTGCAACAATGGAAGCATTTCCAGCTTAAGTATCTTCTAACCCAGGGGTGTCAAACTGAATTTCATTGAGGGCCGCATCAGGATTGTGTTTGACCTCAGAGGGCCGGGGGGTGGGGCATGGCTAGGGTTGGTGTGTCCTGCTCAACATCACTCATGTTGCGGCTGCCTGTGGTGGCAAGAGCGCTGTGCCAGCGAAAACAGGCTCCTGAGCTCTTTTTTGGCTGTGACAGCTTCCTGCAACCCTCTTCCAGTGAAAACAGAGCTCAAGGAGCCACACGCAGCCCTTGCGAGCTCTGTTTCTGAGTGCGACGGCCTCCTGCAACCCTCTGCCAGCGAAAATGGAGCTCGGAAACATGCAACCCACCTGAGCTCCGTTTTTGCTGGCAGCACCATGGGCCGGTTCTTCATTGTTTCCAGCGCGGCAGATAATCTAAGCACCCCACGGGCTGGATCTGGCCTTGAGTTTGACATCCCTGTTCTAACAGATCAATAAAACTAACGCTTTAGCTGCCTCAAAAGCATCTGAGTTGCTTTACTTCAAGGTTGAATGGGGAAGCTAGCAGAACATTGCAAATGGGGATCACATGACCGCAGGATGTTTTGATCGCAGGGGATTTACCTAAATGACGGTAATGGACTGACTCAGCATATTCACATGACATCACACTTATGGTCACGTTGCTTAGCAACAGACTTCCCCTCCCAATTACTGTTGTTAAGTGAGGACCACCTGTATTCCATATGTCAAAGGCCGGTTCTTAGAAATGTGTGATTTATCTGAATGGAAATGCAGTATTTTCTACCAATCAAAGGACGCAGCAATATGTGCTACTATGGCAAAGTTTGCAATATATAATATGCATTCATATTACAGCAGCAAATTCATTAGTGAACGGTGACTCTTGATAAATCTAAGGTAATTTTTTTCTTAGTTTGCATTTTAGTCTGTGTTGAATTTTTTTTTAAAAAGCAATTATTTTCCTTTTAAGATTGTTTGTTCAGTATGCATTCTTCTTGTGCCATATCCGTCATCGGACGTTGGCAATCCTATTTTTGTCAACAGCCATATGAAAAACTGCTGCTGAGTTTTGTCCAAATCTTAGGATTTGAAGCCATGATGTTCTTCTTCTGCCTGGACTTCGTTTGCCTTCAATCTTTCCTTTGAGGATTAAGTGAAGGATGCCGCCAGTGTCGCATCACATGTCCAAAATATTCTAACTTTCGCTTTTTAATGTCTTTGATTATTTCCCTTTGCTTTCCCAGGTGGTTTATCACCTCCCCATTGGTGATTTTGTTAACCCAGTTTATACCTAACAGTAAGTATGCATGCATAAATTAAATAAGTTTTTTTTTTTTAAAAAAAAGGCAGAAACCCTTAAAACAGTAACTTAACTTGGACAAATTGTGTCCCTGTAGTTAGCTGCTTGCTCCAAAACCACTTTAGTAAATAATCCTGGCTACTTAAAAGGAACCGCTGCCTCCGCCCCTGCCCCCACCCTCCGGTAATTATTCCGGGTAGAGGAAATAGAAATGATTCGCGATTGAATGAGATCCCGGAGCGAGACCTGCCTCGGCGGTTGCACACCAGGAGGCCCAATCACCGATTGAGCGAGACAAGAGTCACTGGCGCGCACGCGGGCCGGGTTGAATCTGTGGGGTTGGGGGGACACCCCCCCCCACGAGCAGCTCCGTGGGAAGAGAGGCACTCCCCTCCCTCCCTTCTTCGCGCAGGTCCACGCGCCCCACTTTCAATCCCCGTGACCTTTCCCCTCCGCCAGTCTCCGCCCCAGAGGGGAAGCGCGTCCCTCCCGTTCCGCCGGCTGCTGCTTTTGCCTGGGTAGAGAGAGAGCGAGAGCGAGAGCGTGGCCGCGCGGGAGGCGTTCCGCTTCTCTCCTGCCGCTTCTCGAGCCTTGTGGGGCGCCCCTGCTTTGCCCGGCAGCAAGGTGAAGGCGCGAGAGCGCGCGCGCGAGAGAGAGAGAGGTGGGAGGTGGTGTGCGGGGGTCGTGGCGCGGGCTCGGGGAGGGCTCCGCGCTCCGTTCTGCGTCGCGTGCTTGGAGGTGCGGTGTATGTGTGTGTGTGTGGGGGGGGGGGGGGGGGGGGGGGGGGCGGGTCGGGAGCTCCTCCCCAGTTCCCAGCTTGCCTCCTTCCACTCCGCTTGTTTTCTGCGAGTGGGGTGGGGGAGGAGGAGGAAAGGAGGCGAAGGGCTCTTGGGTGGGTGTGGGGTGGAGGGGATGGAGGGCAGCTGCCACGCGGGGAGGTGGAAACAGGCGTCCGGGCAAGAGGCCTGCCGGCCTTCTGTCAGGGGAGGCGGGGACCGAGGTTTGCGGCTCTGCAAAAGCTCTCCTTCTCTCTCTCGCTCCCTTTCGGTGCAGTTTCGGAGCCCGAGCCGGGACACTCTCCAAAGTGGTTGGTTTTCGTGCAGAGGCAAAGGAGGGTGTTCGGTGGGGCGCACCGAACCGCCGGTCCATGCCACAGGGGGTGCGACCCGGGGTGTTTGCGGGTTGGCCGGATGAATGAAGCTGCCCTATCTTGGTGTCGGGGAAGCTGTTTGGAAGGAATGCTGATGATGACCTCCTGCTGGCTTGGGATGAGTCTGAAAGGTGGTCCACTGGTCGTTAGAAGAGAAATGCCTGCCGGATTAGGAAGATGTTTTAAAACGGGAAGTGGCATGCAGTAAGGCAGCTACCCCCCCCCCCCTCTTGTTTGAAGCGCGAGGTATATATAGGGATGCAAAGCTGGTGCTTCCTGTGTTTTTTGGGGAGGTCCTCCCCTTCATTTGGGAGACCAGGACCCGATATGTCCCGAGGGAGGAGTTTTGAGTGCTGCTCTGTGGAGAGTCCTCCCGCCTGCTCCTTTGACTTAGCTAGGAAGTCCCTCGCAGCTGCCACTCAGCACAGAAAACATCAGGAGGAATTATTGGTGGTGCTGAATTTCAATCCATTCTTGGGCTCTGAGATGGTTATTTTTAGCCCAGCATATCCAGGAGCTTTGCAGAATCAGATTCAGCTACCAGAACTGTGGCACAAGAAGGCCTTGCCATGTACAATTGTATTCTTGGTTGTTGCCTGGCTGCTGCCTCTAATCCTGTCTCTTGGGCATCCCCAAAGCATTGCTATGTTGGGCTGTTATGGCTCCCAAGAAGGTATTTGATGTACAGTAATCAATCAAACGCACATTTGCGTTACTATTTATTTGTTAGAATGGGTGTTGCTTTTGGAACCCTAGGATGTAAGAAAAGACATTTGGATGTTAGGCTTTCATGTGGTCTTTATTTCTAATTTCAGATGCCCCCCAAAAAGGGAGGTGATGGAATTAAACCACATCCAATCATTGGAAGATTTGGGACATCCTTGAAAATTGGCATTGTTGGTTTGCCAAATGTTGGGTAAGTGATTAAAAGTCACTAAACTTTGCTTAGTCATCACAAAGCTTATAGACTAAATTCAAGTTAAGAGTTGTGCTGCAAAAAATACACCGTGGGAAATTGTTGGTCTTCGATAAGGTTTTCTAATTGGGCAGTCATAATTATATTTTAGAGAATGCACGTTAGTTTTGAATTTGAAAATGTCAAATATCCTGAAGTTGCAGTCTTAAAATAGCAGATTATTAAAGTAGCTTTTTATGTGCTAAATTAAAAATAGCTTTCATTCGTTTGACATTTTCTTCTGAAAGTTCATGTATAAAGATGCTTCACTTTTAAAAATAAAAGGAATTGTTACATTTCATTGAAAACATAAATGTATATTTTATTTAGTTTTATCTAGCTAGATAATTTTAAAAATGTGAAACAATAAGGGAAATGTAAAGTTTTATTAACAAAAGTAATGAACTGGAAAGTTGATTATGTAGTTCTAACTTATCTCACATTAATTTGCACGGAACAGTACGTTTTGAAGAATAAAGGAAAAATGAAGAATTCTCTAATTCTGTTTTTTCTGTTTACAAAATATTTAATTACCTTTATCAGCATATACATGAGGAAAACAGATTATACCTTCTCTCATACAGTTTATATTTCCAGCTCTGACACTTCCCCTGTTGAGAGTGTCTATGGAGATTCTCAGTCATCCAGGTCATGGTTGTCCCAAAGGTGCTTTTTTCCCCCAGTTGCCTCTTTAAAAAAAGCACCTTTGGGTCCCCTGTTGAGAGTTTGTAAAGTCTATATAAGATAGGATTGGAAGAGAAGACCCCAAGAATGTCTGCTGAATATTGAGAAATAGTTAGATAGCAGTAGAGATACCAAGAATGTAATGTTAGGATAGTTGAAGAATAGATTTGTTCAAAATACTTTGGAAAGAAAGAGAAGAAAGATTTAATAAATTCAGAAGAAAAGACCACTTTCAACATTGAAAGCAACATAACTGAAACTAAAGTGGTATTAGAGGAGGCAGCAAATATATTGTAGAAAGAATAAAGATTAGTGTTTAAATTGAAAAAAATGAGATAGTAAAATAATAATTACGGACTTCCCTGGTGTGTAATACAGTTCACTGCCATCAAGTTTAATAAGAAAGCACAGGTATTCTGTTCTATTTATTTTGAAGTTTGCTTCAAAAGTTGCAAACAAGTGCTTTGACTTTGTAAAAGTGGACATGTACCGTATTGTTTAAATGTTAAATTAGAGTATTCTGGCAACTGTTGAATTTTCCCACTTGAGAATCGAAAACAAACACAGATAATATACTGTATTTTTCAGACTATAAAATGCTCCAAAGTATAAGACGCAACTAGCTTTTGGGCAAGAAAAAAAAAAAGAAAAAAAAATCTGCCTCTGCCTCCCAGCAATTTGCAGCAAACAGCACAGTTTGATTTAGCACAAGCAACTGATTGGCGGTTGGATCTGCCTCCCGGAATACCTCCTATCAGCTGTTCCAGGCTGCAGGGATTGCCGCTGCCCATCACTGCCGTTGCTGCCCATTGCTGCTGCCACCTATCGCCGCCTTCACGCATCCCGTTTTCAGCCTCCATATGCCCCATTTGCAGCCTCCGCACATCCCATTTGTGGCCGGTTCCAGGCAGTGGGGATCAAGCCGCCACTGCCTATTCCCACCGCCTGGAATGAGCCGAAAATGGGATGCGCAGAGGCCAAAATGGGATGCGTGGAGGCCAAAAATGGGGTGCATGGAGGCAGTGATAGATGGCAGTAGCGATGGCCAGCGCTGGTTCTGATTGCTGGCGCTGATCCCCGCAGCCTGGAACAGCTGATAGGAGGTATTTCGGGAGGCAGATCCAATCGCCAATCAGCTGCTCATGCTAAATGTGCTGTGCTGAAGCTGACCATACTGTTTGCTGCAAGGAGGCAAATTGCTGGGAGGCAGAGGCCGAAGGGTGTGGGCTGGTGGGTGGGTGGGGCTTCGGCAACATTCGCTGTATAAGGCGCATAGACATTTCCACCCACTTTTTGTGGAGGGAAAAGTGTGTCTTATACTCTGAAAAATACGGTATTTCTTATTATAATAATATCCTGCAAATAAAAACAGAATATGGAAAAAGCAAAGGTAATACCAATAATAATAGGGGCCTTGGGTGCAATTCCATAACAACTGGAGCACTACTTGAACACCATCAGCATTGACAAATTCCCCATCATTCAGTTGCAAAAGGCAGCTTTACTTGGAACAGTTTACATCTTGCAATGATATCTGTAACTCCATCAAACATCTCTATCTGCCTATCCCAGGTAATAGGGAAGGATTTGATAGGTGGACAAAGATGCCAGCCAGATACACTCTGAACATCTGGCTGACTGTGTAACAAACTCACACATTGAATTTGAGTTTGAATTACTGTGGGCTTGAGAGTTTGGTATTGTGGCTAAGATGCTGGAGTAGAAACTGCAAAGAGTTAAAAAAATGATCTTGATGGAAATATGAAGAAACAGTTACCTAGGCAAAGAAGGCCAAATCATTTTTTTAAAGTTCAGAATGAGACAACATTGAGAAACAGCTTAGGCAGACACCTTACCAATTTACATAACGAAATGAAATAGCCTGTTTGGTGTATGGAAAGTCCTTGCCTTATGACTGGTTGCTTAGTGACTTTGAAGTTATGACCAACCAGAAAAATAAGTCTGTGCCAGACTTATGGCACAGATACAAAGTTCTGTCAGACTCCCTCCGTGATTACATCACTGAACTTCAGGTGCTCGGCAGTATGGCCGCAGTGTCCCATAGTCACATGACCACATTTTACACTGGTTTTGCTGAAAACGCATTCAATTTGGCTTCCGGTAAAATTGCACCCATATCGAATCACTGGATTGCCACCAAAATTGTAAAATTGGGTTGGTCACGTGATCACTTATGACATACAACGGTTATGCACAGGCTTCATTGCAGTTGTATGTTGAGGATTACCTGTATTGGTTAAAATAGTAGCATAGAAACCAGGAGAGCGAGAGTTCTAGTGCCACGTTAGGCGTGAAAGCCAGCTGAGTGACTTTGTGCCAATCTCTCTTAGCCCAACTCACGTCACAAGGTTGTTTTTGGAAGGAAAATAGAAGAAGGAAGAAGTATTACATAGGTTTATCGCCTTGAGTTACCTATAAAGTAATAAAGACAGGATAAAAATCTAATAAAAAAAGTTTAAGAAGAAGTATGTGCAGTGCATTCAGACTTAGAAGATTCTGATTTTATACTTTTATAAAAGTACTTTTAGCCTTTCTGTTGAGCTTTATTTTTTGGCCTGGTATATTTAGCAGGCTGATGAACTGGAAGAATGTGACTTCTAGTTCTCTCTTAAGCATTGAAGACGGCTGGGTGACTGGGCATAAACCGTGATGGTGCAGTGGTTAGAATGCAGTATTGCAGGCTAATTCTGGTGACTGCCAGCAGTTCCATTCTCACTGGCTCAAAGTTGACTCAGCCTTCCATCCTTCCGAGGTTGGTAAAATGAGGACCCATATTGTTGGGGGCAATATGCTGACTCTGTAAACCACTTAGAAAAGGCTGTAAAGCACTATGAAATGATATATAAATCTAAGTGCTATAAAAAAAAGCCACCTTCCCTCAGACCAAGGAAGCATTATGTATGCTGCTTTAAGTTATACTATATAAATAAAAAAGAAATATATTTATCTTACACTTTAGACTTCTTATTTTATTCTTTTGCAAAGTTGGAAGTTATAATTTGTTGTTTTGTTTCTGATTGATTTGGAGAGACCTGTCAGATCCAAAGGTAGATAGTAACACATTGCCCATACTTTGTTCAGCTGTACTAGTAGGAAGAACAAAATAGGAGTGGTTGAATTGGATATATTGGACTATTGCTTCATTCTCAGAAACTGTGCCTTCTCATGATTTATTTATTTATTGCTTGTATCTATATCCCATTTTTTTGTCAAAGTTTAGTGTACTACATGTGGGGAATATTGAATTGAATGACAGTGACTGACTGAAAATAACTCTATGAACTGTTGTCAAGTACAGACTTAGGCCTCAGTTTTCCCATCCTGGCCCAGCACTTTAACCACTACATTCTGAACTTTCAGCATAACTTTCTAATTATTATTATTTATTTCCAAAACAATTGCTTTAGCCTCAGTACTGGTTTTCTGGAAAAAAAATTCTGACCAGTACTACTGATGGCCAGGTTCTGCAAAATAAAATGGGAAGGTGAGATCATTTTTAGGCTCATCTATAACATTTTGATTCTATACCATGGCATCTGATGGGTCAGTGTGGAAAAAAATTCCAGAGCTAATTTGCTGTGGCTGTTCCAATGTGATGAATAAAATCTGAGCATAGCTGTTTGAAGGCTGGATTTGATCATAAATATTCCCTTCTACCAAATGTGAAATTCAAAGCATGCATTCAAAATGTATCTTGAAAATGAGATTTATGCTAATTTTTAGAGAGCTGCTAAAAGATCTGTCAGAAACTAGAAATGTATTACAGTGGTTCAAACAAATTAGAAAAGGTTTTTTGTAGAAATATGGAAATCCTTTTTTTAAAGTTCTCATCATTTCTTTGCAAAAGAAATGTAAAAACGTGACACTTTCATGAGATGTTTGTGGTATTCAGTATTCAATAATAATTAGTGCTGTGTAACATAAAAGTGCTTTGGATCACATGAAAACATAAGCGTTACCATGTCCTCTACTTCTTAAGGCAGCCATGTCGCTTCCTGGGACCATACAATTGGTTTACGGAGTCAGGACAGGTGCCAGCATATGTTTGAGACTTGTCACCCTTCAAATCCCTTTCTGACTGATCTTGAATTACTGCGCAACCATAGTAGTAAAATATCCTTTATATGTCATTTATATGACAACTCTTTCTTTAAAGGAAATCTACATTTTTCAATGTATTAACCAAGAGCCAAGCTTCAGCAGAAAACTTTCCCTTCTGCACTATTGATCCAAATGAGAGCCGAGTGCCTGTGCCAGATGATCGATATGAATTTCTTTGCCAGTACCATAAGCCTCCAAGGTAAATATGTGAAGTGTCATCAGTTGTTTGCTTCTGGTTAAAAACCAACATTTCTCAGTCTCACTATTTTGAATCAGGTTTGAATTCTGCAACTTTATTTCAGGAACATTAAAGGTTTTATAATAGGATCTTTATTATTGAAGATATTTTAAAATATGGATTATTTTTCAAGAGTAATACATTTGAGAAACTTTTATACCTATGTATAGATATAAATGTGTGTGTATGAGTAAACGACTCATTGATAGAGTTAATGAAAAATGTTCTGTTAATAAGAAGTAAGGCAAGTTTTGAAACTAGTTTTATCTTTTGAGGGCTTGAGTTACTACACCCTGAGGGTTTTATGTTTTTGTTTTTGCTTTGGTTGCAAGTGCTAATTTTTCTATGTATTATTATTTTTTATTGAAACTATAAATAAATAATTGCATTTTTAAAGCATTTACTTGTGTAAAGGGTTTGTTTATAATTAACACTGATTTAAAACATAAGGACAGTTTAGCAAGGAACTGAGAATGGGAGAACCAAACTTGAATAGATTCAACTACTGTAAAGCCACATAAACACCTCCTCTGTTTCTTCTCCACTCTATTCTGCTTACATACATACATACACATACACACATGCATATATAAAAATTTATATGTCCTCCAACTCATCTAGATATGGCTCTGGATGGCTTACAAACATTGCGTCATTATAATTGGCTTGCATGAGATTCTATGTAATACCACAAATTTTATGTTGTGTTTCTGTCTCCCTTCTAAATTATAACAATTTTATAGTCTTGGGAAATACATGCTATAACCTAAAAGGTAATTTTAATAAAATGATGTACTTTTGGTATATGATTCCAGAAAAATTGTCTAGAATGTATTTGAACAACATGAAGGGTAATTTTATCATGCCTTGGTGAACTTGTAAAAAAGCCAGAAATTTCTGCATTCAAATAATACACATAATGATACAAGAATTTTAAAGATCAGCATTCAACTGGAACCAGAACTTTTCTTGCTGGCATTAATGAATAGCCAGTAAGAAAAGAGCCATGGAATATTATTTTTTATATAAGATTATTACTGAGAGACTATTATACGCACAAAAGTGGAAAGGCTCTGAAATATCTACATTAGAGAAATGGTTGGTGAAGATGACAGAACTAGCAGAGATGGCAAAAATTAACATGTTTGATCAATAGCTACATAAATCACTGACTGGAAACCCCTTGTGGACTTTTTACTGAAAAAAGAGAAAAATGAACTTATGATTTATAGAGTTTAGAAAGCATAGTTTATGGAAAGAGGAATTATGATATAACCTTAGAGAGGGTAAAATAAAAGTTCATTTATAACTGCTATCAAAAAGATAGAAAGCTGCTTCTTTCTAATCTTTTCTATTTCTATTTTCTTTCTTACTTACTCACTATTCTTTTTTATTTTTGTTGTCTACTTTCTAATTCTTGTATATTTTTGATTTGTTAAAAATTCCTTCAATACAAATTATATTAAAAACAGTTGTGGGAAAGACAGTGCTTAATTTATGGATTATATAAGGGTGAAGGTTTGTTCTCCAGGCTTATGGGTTGGTTTCCAAACGTTTCATTACCAGGTTGGGTAATATCTTCAGCAGAGTTTAGGAGATGTCAGTGTCAGTGTTCTTCTGTTTATAAGGGCTTCAGGTGTGGGTGTATCAAGTGAGGGACTTGTGGTGGGTCAGGTGTGAGTTATCAGTGAATCTCATGGGTCTTGTGATGAGGTTACATCAGGTCAGGGTCATTGGGAGGTGAACTACTGGTGGGGGCGTTGATAATTATAACATTGGTTATAATAGTGATTTCAAATGGTATATAATATTTTTTTTACTGTCTTCTTAAGTTATTGCTCAATATATTTACAGTGATAGTAGTAGGCCATCCTCTGAATTTTTGTCATTTTCAGTTTTTAAAAATACTGAGTATAGTTGGTACTATGTAAAGGAGGGGTGTCAAACTCATGGCGTCACGGTGGCATCACGTGATGTATCGGGACTTTTTCCCCCTTTGCTAAACTGGGCATGGGCATGGCCAGCACTTGATGCATCTGGCCCGCGGGCCGGGAGTTTGACAGCCCTGATGTAAAGGTTTGATGCTGCAAAGTCCATGGATGCTTTATGGCTAATTACTACTTTATATTATTTTGTGTATCATTGTAGATAATTGCTAATTGATGATAACATGGCCATGTATTGTTAATGACTAATATTTTGAATTTTTCCCTTTAGCAAAATTCCAGCCTTTCTGAATGTGGTGGATATTGCCGGACTTGTGAAAGGAGCCCATGCTGGACAGGGACTAGGAAATGCCTTTTTGTCGCATATTAGTGCCTGTGATGGAATATTTCATCTACTTCGTAAGCAATTTAAGGTTTTAATTACTATATTGTGTACATTATTATTATTTTTATCTATTAATAGATAAAACCCTTTGTAATTTATTATATAATACTATAGAATACAGATGCATGTTTTCAAATTGAAACTTATTAAGAAGATCCCTATTCCTATTCATAATTTATTGATAAACATTGATAAACTTCTCTCTATGCGCTGGGGGTCCTTTGCTCCCAACATCACTATGTCACTCAATTTTGCTCCAGAATAGATTAGTTGAAGAGAACGTTAGATTATTTCCATATGTGATAGATGAGCCCCATCCACCAGTTGTTTCCACACTGTTGGCAGACTACAGAATAACAGAATAATAGAGTTGGAAGAGGCCTTGGAGGTCTCTTGTGGTTCCTTCTGGGGAACCTACTTCAGACTTAGTTTTGGCTGGTCTTGCTACAGAAACCTTGAGGCAAAACATTAATTAGTAAACAATTCAATTAGAATAGAGCTAGAATGGACCTTGGAGGTCTTCTAGTCTAATCCCTGGCTCAAACAGGAGACTCAGTACAATTTGAGACACGTGGCTGTCCAGTCGCTTCAGGGATGAAGCACCTACAACTTCTAAAGGCAAGCTATTGCATTGGTTAATTGTCCTCACTGCTAGGAAGTTTCTCCTTAATTCCAGGTTGCTTCTCTCCTTGATTAGTTTCCATCCATTATTTCTTGTCTTGCCTTCTGGTGCTTTGGTAAATAAGTTGATCCCCTCTTCTTTGTGGCAGTCATTTTATTTTCTTCAGAGCAGCTGAAGGGGTAATATTAACATTTCCTCTTTATATCGAATTTATATTTTTGTATTTAATTTATTTTTTATTTTAATACGTTAAAGAAAAGCATGCAGACTATATTCTAATCAGAATGAAGCAGTTCTGGTTGGAGAAAGCATTGGTTTCTCTAACCTGAACCAAAGGTACATTTAGACTTTTATAGCTTTTCTTAATTTTTCAAGAGACTTCAACAATTATGTATATTGTCTCAAACAATAGTTCTCAAACATTTTGGTCTCAGAGAATCCCTTTACTCTACAGGTAGTCCTTGACTTACAACCATTTGTTTAGTGACCATTTGAAGTTACAGGGGCCCTGAAAAAGATGACTTATAACCATTTTTCACACTTAGAACCATTGCAAACACCCCCGTAGTTACATGATCAAAATTAGGATGTTTGGCAGCTGGCATATATTTATGATTGTAGCAGTGTTCCAGGGTCATGTGATTGCCTTTTGTGACTTTCTGACAAGCAAAGTTAATGGGGAAGCCAGATTCACTTAACAGCCATGTTACTAACTTAACAACTGTGGCAAAGGAAGGTTGTAAAATGGGACAAAATTACTTAACAAATGCCTTAACCAATTATGGATTGGCTCAATCTTTTGAGGTATTTGCGTGCATTTTTTTTCCAGAAGCATTTAATTTACCCAGAAAGACTTTTGGTACAACTTTTAATTTAGCATAATAGCATATAGAAAACTAGAGCCAGCTGTCATTTTGTATCTTATTCAAGTATTAATTGTATGATTATTTTTTTTACATTATTATAGTATGAATGCATTTGAATTTTGAGCCTATTACAGGTAGTCCTCAAATTACAACCATAATGGAGTCCATGGTTTCAGTTGTAAATTGTGATGGTGGTAAAGTGAGCCATCACATGACCTGGTCCAATTTTATGATGTTTTTTGTGATGGTTGTTAAGCAAATCATTAAGTCAATTCATTGTTCACTATTGGATGTTTTTTGCCAGAAACTGGAAGTAAATGCAGTTTCCTTTGTGGGGGGGAATGAAAATTGCAGCCACATGATCACAGGACGCTACAATCGGCTGTAAATGTGTTCTAGCCCAAAATGTGGTCATGCCTGCAAGGGGCGAAGGGAGGAATGTTGGAACTTCAATTCCGGGTATGTCAAGAAGTCTACTTTGGGGGTCTGCCATAACTTTGAACAGTCACTAAGTGACCGGTCATAAATTGAGGACTACCTCCATTGCTTTTGTAAGAAAAAACAAAAACAAAATAGCTCGTGATTTGGGTCTGTGCAATATTAGCAAATACGTAATCAATTTTTTATGATTGTGGTCCCCTATCTTATTTAAGCCCATTGAGATCATTTTATTTTTAAAAACTTGCAGCACCGTATACACATTGCATTTTCAGAAGGCTAATAATAATAATAATAATAATAATAATAATAATAATAATAATAATAATAATAATAATTTTATTTCTATACCACCCTTCTCCCGAAGGACTCAGGGCGGTGTACAGCCAATTTAAAAACACAAGACACAACAATGATTAAAAATTAAAATAATTAAATAGATTTGGCCGGTTTAAAACCCCAAAAATTTAAAATACCCCAATTCAAAATAATTATGTTGATAAGACTTGGATATTGCAGTTGCCACATCTCCCACCTGCCTCTTGGCAAGTTCTCCTCTCTTCCCACGTAGCCTTCTTGTGAACTCAAAAAAGTAGGAATCATCCCTGCTGATACATATTGCTGGAAACTGCTTGCAGGAGGGAGAGAGATATGTGACGATACTTGTGTCGCTACACTTCATTGCACCAGCATCTGAGTGAACAAAGCCAGAGCCACCTCTCGTTCCCTCAGCATGTGCAGTTTTCCTTTGTGCAGCTGTACTTAGGCTTTGACACCTTTATTGCATTTGAACTCACTCCAGAAATTTGGAGTTTAGATGTCAACATTTGCTTGGAGATGAATTTAAGATGTACCAGCATGTAGGAGTTTCAAGCTGGCGGTGTGCTATAGATCCAAGCTGGCATCTTATGGTCTTTCAGCTGGTTTCCTTCTTACCCTGGGATATGAAAAGACCAGACACTTAATTTTTCAAAGGATGGATGATGCGGAGTGTGGCAGCTGAGGGTTAGCAGGATATACAAATAACAGCAGAACCTGAATTTGAACATGATTTGGGTACTGCCAAATATTTCATACCTCTTACCCCAGGCTGAGGAATTACTTTATTTGGGCATGGCATGAATATTACTACCACTGAATACTCAGAAGAGTGTGCCAAGGGGTTGATTTGGGCATATCCTGAGATAATGGAGCAATTTGTACTTGCGTGTTTGTGAGATAAGGATCCAGTTTGGAACTGCTGCTGCTGAGACAGTTTTGTGGAAGGTAATGTCATTATTTGAGATCAGGAAAAGGGGGATTGAGTCAAATTTTTTTAAGGACCATTGAATTAGGATAATGTATCCCAAATATTTGCAGTCAAAGAAAGCTGGATGTTTTACTTGCAGGATACATAACAGCTAGTAATGTAAAAACTTTGTTTCCTAAAAAATCTGTTTCTTTGCAAAATGAAACAATAAAGCACTATCAAGTATTGTGGTTTCAAGTTTGTTTCCCTTTTCAATGAACTGTAAGATGTTATAATCAGGTAGGTTTTAACATTGGAACATCTGTTTTAACATTGGAAAAATTCTACTGTTCTGAGATAGGCACAAGGCTAGCATAGCATATTTTCAAAGGGTTTAAATTACCAGAGCATGAGCCATACAACAAGTGTGCTTGTTATATTTTCTCAGCTGTCAGAGTTGAGAGATTCTGAAATATCTTAGGAGAGGAATGAAAAAATGTTCTGGAGCAGGGAAAGCCACAATAATTGTGAGAATGATAAAAGAATTATTTCCTATCCACTCCACAACTGATTGAGGATTGGCATTGAGCAGTTCTGTGAGATAGGAGATGACTGTGGACTGTTTGTTTCTTCTTTCCCATTTTGCCATTCTTCTTTCTGTTAGAAACATAGTCAGTCAGAAGCCTGCTATAGGACTGTGATAGTAGATACTCCTAACTGCTGGAAAAACTACCGGTATTTTGACAGCAGCTTTAAGAGTGGAAAATAAAAAGTAAGGTATGAGTAATAGCAATGTTGGGGGACTATATTTTGGGGATAGAAATTGTGACCAGAGCTTGTAATAACTTCTGTTTGTGTAAGAGAGAGTATCTATGCAGTATTATATTCTAGTATGGCATTTAGATTAAGAAATATTGAGTATTGATTACCAAGAGCCATGGTGGCGCAGTAGTTAAAGTGCAGTATTGCAGGCTAACTCTGTCCAGAACCTGGAATTCAATCCTGACAGGGCTCAAGGTTGATTCAGCTTTCCATCCTTCTGAAGTTGGTAAAAGGAGAACCCAGATTGTTTCAAAGAATGTTGACATGGTAGACCATACAGAGAGTGCTGTGAAATGCTATGGGGTGGTACAGAAGCCTAAATGCTATTGCTATCTTGTAAAATAGAAAAAAAAAATCAGAAAACAGCTGTATCAGAAGGGTTTATGGTTTTAACAATTTAACAGAATTTAGGAATCTGCCACAGTTGGCTAGAAACAAAGGAGCTGTCAACCGAGCAAAAGGATAATCAGGTATTCTGCGGCTAGTGGTGTTGTATGGCAGCAGTAATGGAACTAGCAAAGCTGGTTCTTAAACATTTCATTTATTGTTGCAATGTAGTCTACAAAGGCTGGCCATGAAGAACATCTGGAAGCTACAACTAATCCAGAATTCAGTGGCTTAGTTATTGATGGTTGCACCCAGGGGCCATATCATATCTTAACTTTAAAAGCTACGCTGCCTGTCATTTGGCTTACAGGTGCAATGCAAGGTACTGACTGTCACATTTAAAATCTTGTGTTGTTCAGGGCCTGGGTATCTTCTACAGGACTATCTTCTTTGTGTAATCTTTGCCTGCCCAATAAGGTCTGTGTCATCTCAATAAGAGAACTGTCATCTTCAGGTGTAATCATATCTTTTCCGTTGCTGCCCTCCCACCCTTCCTAGAGTAGCACTCATCATGAAGCGTGATTGTCCCCTGCCCTTCTGGCTTTTAGGAAACTTGGTGGTTCCATCAACTCACACTCTCTCTCTCTCTCTCTCTCTCTCTTTCTGTGTGTGTTTGTGTGTGTGTAGAAGATTGGAAATTTAATATTAACA